ATCACAAACGAGAGATTCAGCTGGGTTCCAAGTGAGTCTCTCGAAAAACCAAATTAGTTTGCAAATGAGTGTATATTCGCTAACTATGAGTCTCCTCTAGCGGTGAATAATTGCCAATCCTTGACACGACACACCACTCATTAGGTTGGTGAAAACTTTTGGTCAGTCCACTACGGTATGAAGCTATAAAAATTCAGATACTGACCGCTGCACGTAGGCTTCCGAAAGAATTGATCAATGTGAGGACGCACATTCTTATCTTATCAAAATGTCTCGCTGCCCATGCAGTTATGTGTGCACAGATTTTGGGATATTACCAAAATCGTCGAAGTTCTCAGTGCCAGAACTGACGAAACTATGAATAAACGCCGACAGTTAGTTTATAAAACTTTTCTTTTAGGCAATCTAACAGTGATGGAGTGGACTACCCACCCAGTTCGATGACATCGATCGATCCCTAGAGCTGTCCTTCAAAACTGAGTCTGGCATTTTCTGTCCATTAGAAAATCATATCTTTACGGTTGTCGCCGAGAGAAGAGCAGTGGAATTTCCAAACGCAAAACATAGTTGCATAACGATTGAGTCATTTCTTGGACAGTTACGTTGATAAGAATCGAGTCAGCATCAAGGGTGGGCGTTATTTTTGGAACTCACCAAAACTTGTCGGATGTGAACAAGTGTGGAAATATATTGGGGCGTGAACCATCGACAAATTGCTGAAAAGCCAGAGTACTGTGATTGTAGGTTTCTTGTAGCCAAGTGACACAAGCTGCAGTAGAATCATTACTCTGGGGGGAGTATTACACATTTTCGTGTGGTGTGAGCGACTCTCAGGTTTTTGAATAGTCCGGCAGATGTGCTAGATGAGGCTGTAAATAAAAAATGAACCAGCTCAGTGTCAGCACTTGTGACACGGTGATGCGTCCTAGCCGTAGGACACTCCCGCACGGTTACACCCAGTTTGTTTACGTATGGTCCACTGGCTACCTGACTAATCAGTAAAAACTTGTTGCAAAACAGATGGGTGTGACCTATGGGCAGTTGGGTATTCATCGATGTTTGACGTGTCAGGTTACTGCTCTCACTATAGTCGGTCAGCCTCTGGACCACGATCAAAAAGAATCAAGCTGGTCAGTGGATTTGACACGAGTTTTTGTATCAGCTGCTACAAACCAACTGGAGATGTTTACGAACACGATATTCACATTTCTTCAGGTATCATTTTTAGCAATTTCTGTTGCCCGCAGATTAGGCTGTGATCGTCCGACGCCCGAACTATCGAGGTAGTGAATGTGCGCTGTGTTCATCGGTGACCTCGGAATCGTCCTACGAGTATTCTAAAGATCACCTTGTCGGCGCGAACTGTCGGTGATTGTCAATCTACCTTTCGGTACGAGACGTATTCGTATACCAGGAGGAAAGACGAGAAGAATCGGACCCCCTAGTACTAAACCGTTTTGTAACGATCGGCTGAACACCACTGTGACTGAGGCTCGCTTAGAGAGGATATTGCGCCACTCATTGTTCAATCACAGAAACCACATCACGTGACCATGGGCTTCCTAACTGACCAGATGGAAATTTAACTCTCCCTCTAAATGGCTTATGGATTGTTAGTAGCGTTAGGTGGACTGGGAATGCTTGGTGCCGATTTCGTTCTCTAAGTCGAGCCGACGTATGCTAAAGGCCAACAGGCACCGTACTGTTTTTTCACCCTTATGAAAAAGCATTATCAAAATAGCTGTATTTCGCTCCTTACCAGTGGGGTTTTGTATGCGATATTACCACTGTACTAGTCAGCCGCCCTTGACCGAACGGTTAAATGCTCGACCGGTGGTCGATAATTTCAAAACTTCCTGCTGGTGTTTCGTAAGATGCACCCTGTTGATTCTCAACAAGAATGAAACAACTGTAGAGTGCTTCTTGGCTTGGTTTCACTGACAGGACAAAATCTAAGTTTATGATTACCAAACCTACTCTCGTTACCACAGATTAGATATCGTCAAGAACCCAAAATCTCGAATGATTTACATCGCTTCATTGTCTAAGTTTGAATGAAGTCGGCAGCCACAACACCGCAATCGCTGTACGGGATGCAAACTACTTGCCATTTTAATCAAATTGATGTCTTTCGTGCTGGATTTTAGGTGGTGAGGTTTTTCTCTATTTTGAGGGTGCCTCATCGTTATGCGTATTGGAAATTATTGAACTGACGACGTCGAACTGTCTCCACGTGCTTGTCGGACTGGTAACGGTGTTTTCGGTTCCCTGACGTGATACATTATTTATTAGACTACTGTATGCTCATGGCGCCCTTTCAAAAACAGAATACTATACAGCAAGCATACGAATGCGCCAATGAACTGTTTTGCAGTTTTGACTACAAATACTTCCAAACTTGGTAGTTCATCTGTCAAAGAATATGCTAAGCCTGGTTTTCACGAGAGACTCAACTTAGTCTCTCGTTTATGATATTCTACAACTGAATGTGCTGCACAGGACAGCCCCATGTTTCAGTTGGCACGATTTCCAAGATATTGCAGTTTATTTTCATAAAGGAGATTACTCAAATTCAGTTGAAGAGTATCCTAAACGTGAGACTAACTTGAGTCTCTCGTTAGAACCAAACTGCAAATGAGTGGAGTGTGTTTGTCGAAATCAGTACAATTTGGGTTCAAGCAGAACATATAGTTGAAGGAAACTCGGGGACTGTGCCTGTCTGATGGGCTCCAAGAAGGGCGAAACCGGTCGTGGGCCGTCGAAGAGTTTTCAGCAACCCTGTGAGTAGTTTTCTTCATGAAAACATGCTAAGCTGTTTTACCAATACAATGGCTGGACAAATCCGAGGTTTTCTGTAATTTGGAAGTCCATCTGACTGTACATTCTGGTTAGATATGACAAGCTAAGTTCTGCATTGAATGTTTGCAGATAGGTTGGACTATGACTCAAGCTAATTTCGTTTTTTTCCTTTTCACGATAATATCTAACGGATCAGATTTGCTTTTCACTCACTGATATACATTAGACTGTCAGCAGCGGGCGAGACTTTGGAAGGCTGCCGAAAGCGGTCTTACGGATGTGCCTCTGCGTGTGAACTTGCATTTTCCGTGTAAATCCAAAGTAGGATACTTGGTGAATAAGCACGCAGAGAGCAAAAAAGGAACCGAGGGATGATCTAGTTGGATGGTTTGTTTGCGAAGCCAAACATGCTCAGTGTCAAAACCTCCCAAGTCTTTCGCCTGACTGAAAGAGGAGTTGCCCTTTACTTGAAGCCTGTTATACTATTATACTACCATACTAGTGTGATAGCGTATTATTATGCTCGGGCGAGATGCATCAGCAGGCTCAATTTTCTTCTCTCGGCTAACAAACCATCCCAAACTAGGCCTTTTTTCTCTGAAGAGACCACTTAAAAGAAGAGAAACAGCACTATCCTGTGAAAGGTCGGATTTTTTAGGACTGTCCATGGCGAGGAAGTTTTCGTAAGAGCGAAAAACGAAGTTTTTGGAGAAGTAGTTTCTTGAAAATCTCAGAAGCCACCAAAACTTACAAAACGCGATTGTAGATCCTGTTATGCGATTGGTGAGAGTATACAGCACCTGCTTCCCTGATTATCTTTATACAGAGTAGCCTTATTCCGAAAGTCTCGCTCTTATTGGAGACTTCTTTGATTTGGCCCACTGAGTTGTCTTTTATCTTATAGAATCCCTCACGTAAAGCAGTGTTCGTAAAGCGGTAGTGTTCATGTATTGTACAGAAGGTGTACGGAGGCCAGCCGTCCCTAATAACTGAACACCACATCATTTGGTCGGATGTGTCACATGCAGGACATGGGCCAAACGAAGGCATACTCTGATTGGTAAGAATGCCAGCCGATCCGAGTCAAGCACCTTTGACTCGACGCTTCTCGCCTCCTCAAGGAGTTTCTAGCACGACCTTGTGGAACACCCTGTGATTACCCTATAGATACAGATGTATTGATTCTCCTTTTGTCTCCATAAAGAGGTGTGTAGAGATACCGTGCCTTCTGATATACCATAGTGGGCGGAGCAGGAAGCCAGGGGACCGATACAGAGTTGCACTACCGTCTAGCAAGTCACAACAGAAGGAATTCATGTTTTGAACCTGTGGGCGACTTGAGTTGAGCAACTTGGTTTTCATCTGGCTGGTAAATCCGTACTTCATATGAAGAAACGTAGGAGAATCCATTTGTCGATTCGCTCACGATTGCTTTTAAAAAGGAATAAACACTCACCTATCGGGGTGGGTGTTTTTTTGGTAGCTTAGGGCTAGTCTCTTATCAGTTCTCAATTTCATGGCAACTCTCACAAGACCATCCGGAGATGGTCTTGGTTGGAACATCTGGCTGGTAAATCCGTACTTCATATGAGGAAACGTAGGAGAAGCCATTTGTCGATTCGTTGACGATTGCTTCTAGGTCTTGCTTGGAATTGGTCCATCATGTGAGGCGGAGTTCATGTGAGAGATTATTGTTTCTAGACTTTCCTATCTATAAATCGCAAGGATATTTCCAGCGAAAGTTGCTGTTTTATTGTCCTTCATTAATCAGAAAAACCAGATTTCATAACCACAGTATAATCTTTGAGTCTCAGGTGATTGAAACTGTGATGAAATCGAGACAACGTTACCCTAATGCACCTTCAAACCAAGAATAGAGTTTATGCGGCGGTAGTAAAAAGGAAATGTTGCTTTGGTTGAATGAAAAGTAACTATCCATTGCGCTGACTCGCTCGATCAAACACTCGTACTATGATAAAAGTCACTGGAGAGAGGATAGTTGAGGTGCCTCAGTTAAGAAAATTCAATTCGATGTGGACACGAACAAAAACCCCCCGGGTATACTTGTTCAGCAAATCTAATTCTTGTCGAATATCAGTTTGAGCAGGCCAACACACTTTTTGTTCTTCCAAGCCAGTCTCAAGCTGAGTTGCATCCATTCTTCGAGTTATAATGGTGAAGGCAAACTTTTTTTTACTGTTCTATTGTATCACCCAAACTTTGATGCGTAATGCATCCCGTGTGTAGACAAAACAAATATCGCCTATTGGATCAGGTGCGCAAACACGGGCGCCAATATTATGCAGGGGACTGAAAAATGGACAGAGGAAATGGGACTTGTCTGATCGTTCATTGTTACCCGATGACAAATGACGACTGATCAAATGAATGGGACTTAGCTACGAGTTTCAGACGCAGTTGGCTTTACTTCATTCAGGCAAATTAGGAAACTGAGGTCTGCTCGTCTTCTTTGGTAATGGGATTGCAAGCAACTTGGAATTAGCCTTAAAATCACACACGTGATTCGATGCAAAAGGTTGTTCTTTTGTGATTTTATCCATCGCTTTTCCGTGAAAAACTCAATTCTGCCGTCAAACCGTGGGCTTTTGCTCCTTAGCGGTGATACCTTACCCTCATTCGCATTCCTGATTACGCAATAGCGACATTCCGGGTGTATGTAAACAAGGTATATGCCGAAATGTGTGTGACCGTTGAGTAACACTTCGTGTTTTTATTCATTCTTATTGTCATCTTGTTCCACATATCTGGAACATAACGGTTCTTGACAAAGATTGACGTTTATCAGCATGAGAATACAATCTGTCCGTACCTCATCCCATTGGTCCTTACTCGTCAAACACAGGGCTTAAGGTCCGTGTGGCACGGGCCAACCATAACTCGCTTAGATCACATTTCCGATTTACGAGTTCGGTCACTCCATAGTCACTTGTTTGTTTTGTTGTGGACATATATTGCTGACAAATGGACTACATAACTCTTCTGGATAACTTTGCTCCTGATGTTCTCTGTTTGTACTGCAAATTTAGACGACAAATTTTTTTGTCTTACTGTGAATATGGAGCTTTTGCAGGGCGATCATGACCAAAACCGCTCTAAAGACGCCTACCACAGTATTCATCCCTACCAGAAGATCCAAGAGGGAGCACTTGCGCGGAGAAGACAGTTTTGAAAGCCTGTTATTTTCTCTACTTCTATCCCTCTTCTCTTCTACGCCCTCGAGCAAACAAGCGCCCCACTTAATGGCTGATGTATCCCTCAAGAGAGACGCTGCAATGAAAAATGGCTGACCCGTGAAACGGTTGGTGAAACAAAGACTTTCGACGCACTATTCCACTATATCACCGAGCGCATGACAACACCCAGCTTTATAACGTTCACTTAATCAGGATTTTTCCTGATAACCTGTCGTTTGTCACTACTCTTTCAAGGAATTATCCTTGAGGAAAGTACATTTTAGTATCCTCACAGGTGTTTCACCGAAGGGAGAGTGCTGTGTGACTTGTACCATCAAAAGAGAGCAATAGTGCTACACTATACCTTACAGCGATAAACAAGAATTTTAACATCACAACTGTGAAGATCTTTCCATAACAATGGTGCTCTTCACATTTTTCGACATGAGCTTCAGCCATCTCTGATGTGTCGACCGTTATAATAAAGGCAGTTACTTATCTGTATTACAGTGTTATGAGTTCCTTGAATCACTTACCTGTCCATCGCTGATAGAAGGGAACCACCAGGGATTCAAATAGTTTCCCAGATAGTGGACTGTTCACAGGCTACGCTACTGTTCGCAGTATCAGCGAAGTCACGGATAAAGGAGGGTAATATATATGGGTCACTTACACGTTCAGGTGGAGAAACATTGAGGTCAAAAGGGCATAGTTCCTGCACACTAGAACCCACGCCTCGTACTGACTTGTGTTGTCGAAAAATTTACTATATCACAAGGCAGCTGAACTATGTGTCAACGGATTTATCCCACTACACCGCCTTGGAGCCATGGATTTAGAAGAACGGCCTTCTGAACCAGATTCCATGAATCCCAGATTCACCTCAACTGCATTTTTGCCACAGTTTTTTCAAGGTGCTAACTTGCGGGAACTTTACTCTGTTCCGGCGGGTCGTACCTCCTTTTACACATGGCTTTCCAGATGCACCCATCTGCATACCAGTTTGTTTTTGACAGCGAACTTGATGAATCTCGCGTTTTTGATGTTCCCTTCAGCTGTCTACAGGATACAATGCGATGTTTCATGAAATATCAGGCGGCCTGCTGCAGCACGCTTGTTTGAAAAAGAACATCATAGAAACGAGAGATTCAGTTGGGTTCCCCGTGAAAACTGATTCGCAAATGAGTGTATTTGTCGAAATCAGTCCAACTTGGGTTCAAGTTGACGGAAACTTGGGGAGTGTGCCCACCTGACGAGATCCAAGGAGATGGAAACTGGTCGTAAAATGTCGGGGAGTTATCAGCAACCTTATGAGTAGTTTATTACGTCTATACAGTAAATAGTTGTCCTTGTAATCTGTGAGTTTCACGGTTATGGTCTCGCCGTTCCGATTATTAAAAACTCGAACAGAGTACCAGCTTGCCTCTTACAGATGGTACGGTGGCTAAGTAGAGCATACAATAACACTAAAGTCATCAGTATTCATATCTTTATTTTCTTGTTGTTTTGTCAACAAACGGCTTGTAAAAACAGTGTTTGGCTCACTGGCGCAGAACTATGGGTTACGATTATACATTAGGTGGGTTGTTCACAGATGGAATTATCCAGGGCGAATATGAAATGCATTCAGAGTGATCACGCAGCCACACCGTTCCACATTCTAAAATGCTGTTGTGCTTGACTATCCATTGACACCATATTGACGCTGCACTATCCTTCAGAGTGACAGTGAAAAACACTCTGTCAATCGGTTGATCATCATCCTCATTATCACGGTCACGCCAGATGAGAACACTGGTGTTTCACTGTCATAAGACCTTGTCAGTTTGTTTGAATAAAGCCTTACAATGGAAAGAAGAGAAAAACGGGACAGGGGAAGTGAGCTAGAGCCAGCCTACGACGAACATCCGGGATGCCTACACCTCCAGAATTTGATCAGATGATCTCGATAGAAATTGACAGCATGAACGCCACTGATATCGGTTGATAAGTCATGTGGCTAAGTGTCTCCAGTAGGCGTCATGTTCCTGGAAGGGTAGGAACACAAATGGCCCACATCTTCATTCCCTTCTAGCACTCCACCAAATAAAGACGGAAAATCGCACTCGTCTTGAAAGGCGGTAACTGGGTCTGCGTGACACTGCCCAGTTACTTTAGCTTGCGGTACTAGATGCAATCTTTGAGTAAAATACAGTGCGCTTCAATGAAAACCCGTCTCCCTCAAAAGGTACCGTTCATGTGAGCAGAGAAAAGTTAATTTAGCAAGTATCTGTCATGTCTACCTGCCACAAGTTGAAGTCGGTATATTCACCGTCCATCACTTGAGAGAGCGGTTTTGTTTTGATTTCCTATCGAAATAATTTTTGTTTTTTCGAGTGGAGAAAATGGCTTCTGCTGAAGTGGTTCTATTGTATGTGCAAGGTGTGTGTGTGTGTACAAAGTACGTGGCTACACGGAAACGGTACCTTGTTTTCGTGCACAGTTGTTGGTGTCATTTTAACGCCGTCCAGAAGAATCGATTCCTCCTAACGGAAATCAAACCTCCGTTCGCCGCACCAACGGCATTTGACGTCACACGCTGAGTCCGCGCGAAATAGATATGCTCATCGGTTCACAAAAGCTGCAGTAATTCAAAGGACACCTGCAGAGAGCAGCCCATGGGTCGTCACCACACCCGCTTAAACACCAGCAGGAGGAAACGGTTGGATTCAGGACTACACAGCCGCACATTCACAGAGTCACCTTAGGAAACAAGAGAATTGCCAGTGATTCAAAAGAGGTTCCTCAGTGACCAATAGGACCAACACTTGTATGAGAATTCAAAACGACAGTAGAACAAAGTGTTCCGTCTATTGGTGGAAACAAGACAGCTAATATAGGGCGGTAATTTTCATAGTTGAATGAAAGCGGTGGAACAAAAGCAACCACTAATAGGAAGCATGAATGAAGTAGCCAAACCACAAGACAGGATCGATAAATTTATAGCACGATAGCAGCCGGTTTTATGATCAGTTCACAGATAACAGTCCGCTAAGAACGGATGTAATGTGTGTGTGTGTGTGTAGACGTTGGTCCTGTAATGAACGGTATTCTGGCAGAGCTACGTTGAGAATTTAGTCGTGTAGTCATCCTGATTTTTTCATTGAATTTTTCGTTCTCAAACGTCACTCGGTAGAAAATATCCATCTGAGAAATCCCACAAAACCCCTACCAAAAACGATCACACTCGAAGAACATCCGGAACAACCGCTGTGACAAAGACATTTTTGGCGGGGCGAACCGGCAATCCTTTTGCTACTTCAAATATCACAAGTGCTTTCATCTCAGAGCAGCAGTGTCGCTGTGAAACCTGACATCCTCAGAAAGTTTATAAAGCAAAATTTTTGGGCACATATCGTACTGAATTTTAGTGACAGAAGAACAAAAACAGATTGGCTGCCGACTGATTAAAAGTCTTTTCTCAATGAGGAGTATTTCTCAGTCACTCATTTGCAAATAAATTTGGTTTTCGCGAGGGATTAAATTGAATACAACTGAATGTGTTGCACACAGGCCACCTCATGTTCCAGTTGGCACGATATTATATTTTCATAAAGGAAACTACTCACAAGGTTGCTGAAAAATCTTCGATCAGTTTTCAGCAACCTTGCGAGTAGTTTCCTTCATAAGGAGTATCCCTGTTATTGTTTTGAAGCCTATACGAATTTGGTAGGAGGTTTCAGATAAACCAGAACGGACGATGCTGACTTCTTCATCCTTTAGAGCTGTTTCATCCGTAATGAAAACCATCAGCAGGGGACGTTTCACGAAACTTCTGTAGAAAGTTTCGAACCCACGACCTTCCAGCTAGTGCTTTGTGCACTCATCGTTTCGGCTACACATAGAGTGGCATCTTCTCCACAGGACGAAATATCAACTGAGTACGCTTATTTAATCCTTATGATGACCAGGGCCAACTGTGATGTCTCAGGAAGCCAGGCCAAACTTAACTAGGAACAATACACATTCTTTAGAACGGATTTTTTGCTTGCGCACGTTTCAGAACGCGCTTTATTTGTATACCCTTGGGTGGTACTAAGATAAACACCGGATAAATTGGTACATCAAACGAACTGAGGAAAACCACTGTAATCAGGTGAGTGAGTGATAACGTTGGTCGTGGTGGATAGGTTACGAAACTAACCGCTGCAGGAGAGCTGTTCATCAACATCACACAATGTTCAGAGATCAGATTCGTTCTGGAGTTACTGGTTCCAAAAAGATCACTGAGGTAAACTGATACACGAACTGTGGATAATAGACACGCTTCAACCAGTAAGCAGTTTTGCCTTGGGTTCGGTAAAAACCTTTCACGTTCGTTTCCACGTTCCCGACACGATAGCCGACGACACGAACTTTGCTCCTGTTGCGACCAATCAACAACGCATAACTCTCATCGTTTTGGGACCTGAATGTCTGACATGCTAGAGGGGCTTGTTCGACGGTGAACAGCTAAACTACTCATGATGCTTGGGCGACGTCTCTGGTTGGCCTGTTGTCTTCAGTGACGTCCATGAAAACCAACTGGAATAAATGCTCACCGGTACAAACGAATGATTATTTCTTTTAAACAAACCTCATGTGAACAAAACTTTTACAAATCACGCAACTTTCTACCACCAACGGCTCGGCAATACTTAGGAGTTGGGTGTGTTTGCCCGACAAGAATTCACGACTACTGAATCAGTCGACCAACAGAACTGGATCGCCGTTCAAGGTGCCTGGTAAATCGATCACACCACGCATGCTTCTTGGTAATCACTCGTTTGGGCAGCCTGTGAAGAGTTGGCAGCATACCCGCGTCACATGTCCAGGGTCCAAAGCCAAAAATAGGCGAACTTTGAATACAGTACTTTTATGCTTTGGTGTGAGCTATCCAGGGTACTCGGGACAGGACAGGATGAAGGCTGCTCGAACAAGATTGATGCGATTACGTGCGTGTGTGAATCACCTTTGTGCGAATGGGTGTACTTTGGCCACCGCTGGTTTTAAAATCTGCCAGGAGAAGACATTCCCAACACCACTCCTGAGTGATTTAGCAGTGTGATTCACGATTCGTATTAGTGTTTTCTTGATCAGTTGCTAAGATTGCTCATCCGAGCTTTTGCTCAAATTTCTCGGAGTTTACCGACAGTCTCAGCAGCAAGGATCAAAGAGTCGTACATTTTTTCAGCAAAAATCCATTGCACGATGGAACTAGTCACTTTTCTTATAACTGGGGTTAACGGACGGATGATTGATCGGATTAAACACCGGTGAAATTCTTTGTAGCCTGGGCTTCTTTGTCGAGAGATGTCATTTTCAGGACGAAATTGCCGTCAAACTTGTAAAAATTATGCTTTTGGAGACTGCTCGTTATACTGGTGATTTGTCAAATCGATCGGCGCTGACGATGTGTGTGTGGACAAAAAACTTCAATCGTGTATTATTTCATACACCGAGTTATAAAAAAAGGCTTATTTGATCCGTACATTTCAGTTATGCAACTGCCGAGCTAGACGCAAGGGTACTGTCTGTAGCAAGATGTGTGGCGGGCTAGGATCAGTTGGAGGACAAATTTTATTTTGGTTTGCTGGTTTCCAATACTTGGGTGGTCAGGTTTTTTAAAACATGAATGCGAGTGTGGCCACTGTGTTCTTCCCATCTTAGGACACATGAAAAATGTCAAGCTGTCTAAACAAAAGATTCTTGGAAGTAGTTTCGAAGACATTGTGTGGTATAGACCGTGAAAGCCAGACTGAAAGCCCTAGAATGTTTGACGGAAACCTAGCCTTGGTTACCGACTATCATCATTTATGGAGGACTACATCTTCCATGGCGGTAAGCACCAGTGACGTATTGCTGCCAATGATGATGATGACGTCCTTTATTCTCGATACGCACTGTGCACGGTTTCGAATCCACACTCTTGCCGCTTCAGATAGATCAGTTGGACCGCGGGACTCGCCGAGTATGAAAGACTGGTACATCACTAATGGACCTTTGAATTTCTCAGCATAACAAAAATGCTTGATCAAGGTCCTGAAGTTACAAAACCAAACCGATTTGCGTTGAGTTGGATTGTTTTTTGATGGGAGTGGAGAAATTAGCTAACATGTTGATACATGGAGCATTAAACTCCTTCCACCCAGACTATTCCCACATGAAAATATCGCATCCCAAGTCACCGTGTGTCGCAGTTTCCAGGGCCGAAGTTCCCAGTCGTTTCAATCATAAACTTGTCCGGTAGAGCCATAAAAGATGAAAATTCCACGTCATTCCAACACTTAGACCATTTTCTTTCTAGCACGACTAATGCGCTGCTGTCTGTTCTGTTGTAATATGCCTTATAAGTGAAGTGGGCCACAGCCCTTGTTGTTGCACTCGTCATTTGCTTGAAGGAACGATATCTCTGGTGAAACCGAAATATCGAAGGGAAACGAAACATGTCATGCTGGCCAAACTCCCAGAGAGCTTTCCGAATAAACAAGTCAAACACTCCCTCGTGCCTACTCGAGAATAATTCATTGTAAACTCACTATATACACTCGATTTCAAACCAAGTTGGTTTTCAAGGGGAATCCAGTCAGCAACCTGATGACTAAAGTGTTACGTCTAAAAGGTTGTGAATTCTCTATAGAGGAAAATGTCGGTAGCTCAGTTAGTGTAGATGATCGTTGGCTTGTTTGCTGAGCTGGGCAATTTGAGTTCAGACGTTTCATCACCAATCGAGGTGACATCATCAGTGCGTAGTTGTGCGTAGCGGTGGGTTAGTGGTTGTGCCACAACTACTAACCCACCGCTACGTGCCACTACGCTCCCCGATAACGCACTGATGACTTCACCTCGATTGGTGATGAAACGTTTGCAACCAAATTGCCCAGCTCAGCGAACAGATCATTTTTATTCGCTTGTCAGAGAATTGAAGAGCAATCCTTCTTGAGCGACTTCACTATTCACCGAAAGAAGATGATAATGCCGTGTCTCATGCACTCAAGTGTTCCGTGCCCATAACCAATTGGGACCTGGGAGGCTTGTTTAAAAACAGCGCAGTGGATACAGTTTTACCAATCGCCTGATCATGCATAAAAATGTCACATCAGTTAAGATCACTCACAAAGTTTGCAGGACGAGCTGAAAGGATGAAAGTTTTGCTAAAACGTTTTGGGGGTTGCCATCAGGGTGCCTCAATACCTTTAAGACGACAAAATAGTGCTGTGATTGTGTTTCAACTATTTCGACCAACGTCTGCAGGCCAGTCAATGCCAAAGAGCCGAGAACCATTCAACTACACTTTCATTCTCATTGAGAATCATCAGCAGTGCGTATCTGATGAATCTCTACGGCAATTCGAACTCAAAGCCTCCAGACTAGTAGTTTGAAAACTTAACCATATGGCCACGAGAGGCTGATCAGAAGCGGGGCTTAGTCGCACCTAGACAGGACATAGTACCACTCATCATTCAGTCACGGGAACCTCACGCGGTCAAGTCATGAATGGCCCGTTGAGCGACGAATATTCAGATGACAGATTCATTTAACTTGGCTTACGATTTGTCAATAGTATGGTGAGATTTGAGGATTTAACCCGGTTCAATCTTTGCCGAAAGCGGAGAAGCACCATACGGTTTTTTCGTACCTAAATAGAATCATGGTCAGTGCGAGTTAATCAAACTGCTAATTAACGGCTCGGAGCCGAACGGTTTAGTTTTCAGCTGTTATCCGGAGGGTGGCTAGTTCAAACCTTTCTGGGAATTCTCGACACGGGTAGTTCTGATGCTTCCAAACAAGGATGAAGCAGTTGTACAGTGCATTCTGACGTTTTCGACATAGATAGGCTTCACTGTCAAGACGGACTCTCGGCTAGACTTTCCAAATCCTTCACATCAAACGTACATGCCACCATGTACTACAGTCATTGTGCATTATAACTAGAACGTCTGCACTTGTAATGCTGGGTTGTAAGCCAAGGCAAAAACCCAGCTTCGAAGGATTGATTCTTTAGATTTGTGGCCTGTAAACGAAGAAAAGCCAGTTTTTGAATGATGGCGGTCGATGGAAAATTCCACATTTCGGAATGTGGAATAGTGCAGGAGATGATGCAGCCGACATCACGGATAGACACGGACCATCAGATTTCTTTGTTTGGAAGTGTAAACCATTGGTCACTTTTTGGTTGAGCTGATGAAGGCCAATTTTAAGATGTCTATGAATGGGTTGATACAGTTCGACGATGTTATCCACCCACCCGTATGACACTAATGTGTAGTCAGATTGCGCACAGTAGAGCCATTTCAAACGGAATGTGAGATTCACTTTATACGAATTTTTAGGCTTCAGCCTACGTAACAATCTGAGCGGTGGATATTTCAGGTCTGTATGTGTTCATGCAACTGAGATTGAGCTGCCTTGAGAAACCGAGAAACACAACAGTTTATCTGCTGAAAATGACCAGTAGAACAAATTTAATGTAAATTTTTCATAGAGGATAAACTTCAATTGAATGCACGGTGAAGGCCGTTGGATTCTTGTGCAGAATTCAAAAGAGTGTGCATGAAACAAGTCTCGATATACGTTGGTCTTAACCTACACAAAACGGGAAATCTTCGTTTCACAGGGTGTCTGAATTTCAAGATAACAGTACCCAATCTTGACGGGCCGGTTGAAGGACAAGTCATTTGAATTCTGGATCAATATTGCACCTTCTTTGGGCAAGAATAACGAGCTGTTCAGACCAAAAAGAGCTGATAAGGACTTATTGTCCATGCGAGTTGTTCTGTCGAATGGAATGTTCGATAATCGATAAGCCAGTAGCCAGAGGCAGAATCAGGAAGCTTATTTTCTATCGCATGGCTGCTAAAATCCATGGGATGAGTGGAAAGTACACAAATTCCACAAGGATAATCCTCTATGCCCATAATGAGGGAAGATCTACTTTGGCAAATTTACCTTACCCGGATAGAAGGAGCAACAGACCACCGTCTTCCTTGAGGAGTAAAGGGAACACTCGAAGCTCTTGGAACCGATCGGCGCTCATCGGTGCAGACTGTGGTAGAGTGATTCCCTGTAAATTTATTGCAGGGTAACGTCTCCCTTTTGACACAAAACTTTAGTCAGATCAGGTAACTCGGTCAAGTTTAAATCCAGAACGCTGTGTGCACAATCTGGTCGAACAGCAACCCCAACTTGGGAGAAAAACAAGCTTGGAGGAAGCGAATACGTGATGGGTTTGATTAAGTGGGACTGAAGAAGAGTACTGGTACCGGCATTGAGGTTACTCAAAGAGTATTAAACCCAGCCTACACTCCAGAAGGAAAAATCGTAAGCACGGTAGTGAGGCCAATAAAGCACCCCGTCACGGCTAAAAGGGATCCAGCCTATGTGCATGGAATTAATGGCTGCACTAAGGTCAGAAAACTACACGCCAGAAGTGGTGAGCACCAAGAAATGAATATCAGACGCTGGTCAGAGACTTGGCGATGGCTGGGCATATTTTAGACAAAGCACATAGAACAGATCTGGAAATTGCAGAGGTTTTGAGGTGTGCACCACAAATCACACCACAGCAGAGGCAGTGGAAGTTGCCAGTCCCCCCTCGGGTGATCAGCACATGGAAAACGGGTTTAGATCACTCGAGCTGATACACGTGGCGGTGTGTACTTATCATTCAAACGGAATCATTAAAAGAAATCATTCAGGTCTACAAAACACTCACGTAAACCCTTTCCGCTCACCCATTTGTGGTAGGATTAGCTCACTCTCACACACACAATCTACAAAAAAATTGTAAACGAATTCAAACAGAAACTTCATCCAGAAGAATCCCATCCCAGATTATTGTAGAATGTTCTACCTGGCCTATCAATGTAACATACTCGTCCATATTAATTGGAGCTCAAAAACCCTTATCCGATATCTAAGCCTGATTAAACCAACTGTGATTATTGATCAGTTCTCTGTCTGCCCTGAAACTCTGCTAACCTTGCAACCCAGTCACCTTACCTGACGAAGCTTTTGCGTCAGCAGTTAAGTGTTGCCTAGCAACAAATACACCGCCTGATTTACTAACCACTCTGAAGCTTTGAGAGAACACATTTGTAAGTGTTTGGTTCCGAGAGATCACCAAGTTCAGTGTCTGGCTTTTGGGTTGCAAAATTGTGCCAGAAAAGTGAGAAGCACCGTACAAGCACGTGATTCCTGTTTGAAAGTGCGTATCCAGTGCAGATCGGAGTGAGCACCGTCGATAACTCAGTCCAAATGCGTGAGTGGACTGCTTTTCTGAAGAAAGACGTCCTGTCAAGCTGCTGCTGGTTCGTACAGCTGAGTTGTTGTGCGCTTTACTTCCATCCGAAGGAGTGAGGGCGTGGATCACTCCAAAAGTTGGTAACATGGACAGTGCTGCCACTTTTTGAGGCAAAAAGCAGGTCTACAGTGCTCCTTGGGTGGCAAGAGCCAACCGCTTCAGGTAACGTGGCGCCCGACTGTAAGTCGCACAATTGACCTCAGCCACTTGTATGTTGGGGATGTCAGTATCCCCAAGAACCGTTTATTTTTC